CCCTCAGTCTGTTCCATTCCACCGGATCTATTCCGTTCATCGGTTTATTTTGTTCTTTAGATTCCACACATAAGTGAGATCACGTGATATTTGTCTTTCCTTGTCTGGCTTGTGTGGCTTAGGAAATGCCACTTTAATCGCCCATCGGAGAAGCCACTGGGCTGTGTGATCCCTCCGTGAGATGGTGCCTGCTTAGCGCTGGCCCGGCACAGACCAGGTACAGGAAGAAATGGAGACTATTATTATTACTAATCACTCACTGCAATGCCCATACGAAGGCTTTTTTAAAGAAACCTCCCACTCTCCACAAGTCCAGGCACAGTCATTCCAGGCATATCCGTCCACTCACTCGATAAAGCCAAAATAACACGAGGCTTCACGCCCTGGAGACCAATCATTGCAGCTGATGAGACTGAACTTGAAAAAAACAAAAAGGTCACAACCATCTGTCCCAAAGATAACTTATGTGCTGCTTTTACACGTGATGATTGGCTGTTTCGGTCCCTATCACAACAGCACAATCACCAAAATGTGTCCCCGAGAGGAATGACCCAGCACTAGGTTTCGTGGGGACACCTCTTTTCCTGAAACACATCCTCTCATGAAATGGGCAAGGGGCTGAGGACCCGGCTGGCAGGAAAGCCCTGTGGGTATTTCTCTGTTCTGTAGACGCAAAGGTCTCAACGTTTAAAGGGCAACAAGCAAAGGAGCCAAAAACCCCGCGACCTCTGGTGGCCTTCAAGTCATTTACGTGAGCACAAGACAAGAAGGGAGGAAAAGCACTGAATCTTCAAGGCGTGATGACCTGACCCCCCTGCTGTAACGGGATATCTAACAGACTAAGGAATTTAACGTGAGGGAACCGTCTGGGAACAGCCGTCACGGGGAGTGACTTGGGGCGCCCGCGGCCGGCTGCAGCCCAGCCTGCTCCGGCTGCATTCCTGGGGCCGCGCTTAGGAAGGAGAAGGGGAGGACCCGATTTCACGTTTCATGGAGACCCTTGGGAGGCCTGGCCCTCGATTTCCTTCTCAGCCCTTTAAGAGAACAGCTCATTTTATGAAAGGTGCAGTCTAATTGTCTTCAGAGAAAAAATGATGTCTTATTTCATGCAAAAAGTCTGCACTCTCGAAGGGCGAGAAGACGTAGGAAGTGACTTGGCGACATGTCAAAGGGGAAAGCGTCGGCCCTCATGTCCCTTTCCTGTTGCAAGTAACTGGCGCTGATACCGACGGCGAGCGAAGGGGGGCTGGTCGGGCTCCTGCAGCCTCTGCTGGGCCTGGAAACTAACACGCCTTTGGAGGGAGTCAAAACTGGGTGACCTGGGACATCGGGAGGGGATTTAATTCCCCCCTCCTTTTTTTTTAGCTTGACGCATGTTTATATGTTTTCTTTTTCTTGTTAAATAAGCATAGTACTTTCACATTCAAAAGGAAAAATAAAAGTTACCCCAACCATAAAATGCGTTAGAGGCATTTCTGCTATAAGGGGATAGACATATTCCTGGAAAACCTCCCGTTTTGCAAATTTGTTGGAAAAATCGGGTTCTGGGAAGATCATTCAAAGCCTGCGCCCATTTACAACCAGAGTCACTGCCGCTCCAGGAGACAGCTGGGGTCTGGGAGTTCACAGGGGTTACAGAAAACGCAGAAGAACATTTGGTTGGAAACGCTGGCTGCGAAGTCCAGGCTACAGAGACAGAGGAGGGGCTCCACTCCAAAAGTGGGTGCTAAGCACATGTAGCCAAATGGAGAGGGGCCCCCCAGACCACCTCTAGTCCCCAGGCGGCCTGCAGGGTGCCTGAGGTCGCACCACCTGCCCTCAGTTGCCATTTCTAACTGTTGGACAATTCAGGCGTCTGCCACACCCGGAGGTATGGAGATGACGTGACCGGTGCACAGGGAACCGTGGGGGTGGCCCCTGGGAGGGAGTCAGAGTAGGATTTGGAGAAGTCCATGTAAATAGGTAGGGACAAGATTGGTGGAATAGTAAAAACCCCACAGAATTTTAAAACCAGAGGAGAATTCTGTCGAATGTTTTGTCCACGGGTGTGTTCTCAGCCCCCAGGACTGTGCCTGGGGGACAGTAGGTGCTCAGTAAGTATCTGTTGAATGGAAGAATGAACCCACCGACAGTGTGGGAGAGCCGTCGCAAACCAGCTTGCAAAAGCCGACTGCTATGTTTTTCAGGAATTTTGTGAGCCGGTTGTTCGATACAGCCATCGTCGAATATTACGTTACATAAACTCACAGTTAAATAAATCCTGTACATACATCTATGTATACACATGGGTGTGGACATACACAAAACGCACTTCCCAATGATCTCACTATAATCTGTGCTCCTGAGGTTCTCACGTTGATCGTGGTCTCCGAGTGCTCTTCTGCCCCTCGCTGTCCCCACGGGGCTCTGCCGTCTCACGCCCGAGAGTCATCACTTACGTCAACCGCCTGGCCCTGTAGGCAATGAATTTGTGGTTCTTCCTCCGAAGCTCCCCTTTCACTTTACAGAGACAAGGAAAGCCAAGGGGGGAATTCTGAACCCGCCGACCAAGAGTTAGCAGCTCAGTTTTAGAACGCCCTAGTTTACGGCAAGCGACCAAGATAGAAACAGACACATGAGCCACTGGCTACAAACCTCTGCTGCAGTCCCCTCAGCCTACAGCTCCCCCTTCCCCCGCCTCCCTTCATCTTCTGCGGCTCCCGGCTCCCTCGAGCTAACAGCCAAGGCTTCTTAGAATGGGGTCCTCTGATCCTGCCACCCCTCCAGTCTCATGGCCCAGAACACAGCGCAGGTCCAGCCATTTCCAGCCACCTTGGCGCCCACTCTCACACCTCCATGCTACTGAAAATGCAGCACCCAGAGCCAGAGGGCTGTGGCTCTGGTCACCTGGTTACACCACCTTCCTTCCCTTGAGGCGTCCGCTCAGGAATCACCTCCCCTGGGCGTTTCCCGGTATCTCCCCTCTTTTATTGACATCAGGTGCTCCTGGCAGACCTCGCAGCGTCCCGTTCTTACTCTGACCGCTGACTGTCTTGTGATGGCCGCGACACTAGCCTGCGCCCTAGTGCAGACCATGAACTCCTGGAGGCGGGGATTATACCTTTGACCTCTGCATCCCCAGCACCCAGCTAGGGCCTCCGGAAGCTTAACAAATGAAGGCTGGACGAATGAATGAACGAATGGACCCAGCCTTTGCCCAGGCAGCAGGGATACTTTTCAGAAATAAATTCTCATCAACCCAGCCAATTAGAAGCCCTGTGAGCCCGAGGCTGAATTCCTGCTGCAGCTTTAGGTCCCGGTTAATGCACATGGCTGCTCTGGCTTGGGGGGGGG